TGCTGACTAAGAAACATAACACCGGCGGCCGGAAACCACCGCAACGGCAGTTCCCAGTAAGAAGAGTCGCGAAGGTTCCGTACCACTCGGTGCTCTCACTTTGGAGAGAAAATTAGAGCGAACAAGGAAATTTTTAAATTCATGAATTGTCACATGGAAATTTTTGCATTTAAAATTTCAATTCACTAAGCAAAAGTAATTTTTAGCGCTTGCTTTTATGTGAGGAAGGAACTAAGGAATAATATACGAAGGTATATAACATTTCTAAGGTAATGACCGGCCAAACTTGATTTTGACAATACACACCCAATAAAACCACATCCTTTGCGTTAATCACATAAGTTAATTAATAATCAAATGTCTTCCATCTCACCCGAAAATGTATTAGAGCACTTCCATCCGTTGTGCCATGACAAAGGGCATGGGCAAGTAATGACAGACACCATTAATGTGAATAGTGACTGTCCTATCAATTTTTTTGATACATTCCCACCCATTGCCATGCAAATCCAAGAGTAACCACTATTCACATGGGATATGAGGAGATGAATTTGTATGAATTTTGGTGTGTGAAGTGAAGAACATGGCTAGGTATTTATAGAGAAAAAAAATTCTAAATTTTTGGGGGTATATTTTCCTCTTTTTTTTCCTCAATTTTTTTGATATTTAAATTGGTCGCTGACGTCACACTAACGTCAAATTGCCCAGGTAGCAACCCAGACAAATCTTGCCTTCGAGCTTGTCCAGTTTCATGGCCCACTTCTTGTTATGGCAATTTTTTTTTTTTGGGTGAAGGTTGTTTTTAGAGCATAGGCCCCCTGACAAAAGGAAATAGGATGGAAGTGCTCTTATATGCAAATGAAATGACAAGCATACCTTCACTATTTCATGTAAGTTGTGGTACAAATCGAAAAAGGAAACTGTTGAGGCCCAAAAAATTCACGGTTGGGCTCGAATATATTCTCGTCCCAAAACGATATATTATTGAGAAAAGACCCGATTTGGAGCACACGAAAGTCCGCTATGCATGAGTCACACTCCACGTGCCATGCCAAATAAATAATCCATCATGCTAGGAATCGAGATTAAGATTATAAAATGCATTATCTTTGCAAATCCATGCTAATTATCCCGTCAAGCATAATAATTAAAAACATGCCAAGCGATATGTCATGCCAAGCAGGAAATCATTATTACACACCCAATCGCGTTACAAGCCTAAGTGGGCCAAGCCACTCGAATGCCTGGGGCTTACTTGAGTGGGTTGTGGTATGGATGGTAATAAATTGTCATGAGGCCCATTGATGGACCGAGAAGTGGAGGTTCCGGGTTGCTTGAGAGCCTCGGAACCCAAGCCCATTTCTTAGTGCTAAACATATGGGTGAACACAAAATGGGAAAATAATCCAACCAAAATAGCCCAACCAAAATGATCCACTAAAATTAACCCATATAGCCCAATGTTAAATGAAGATAGCCCATTTGTTTGGAAGGTTGACTTGCTATTTTAAAGGCCCACACAATTGGAGGTAAGAAGCAGCAAAAACATCAGCCCTTTTGCTAAAAGAAACAGAAGCCACGTAGGGAGCAAAGTGTCTACATATGCAGAGTTGCTGGAAGGCTCCAGCACATGGGAAGGAACAATTTCCACGTACAAAACACCCGAAAAACCAAAGGATATTAATGTGCAAGCTGCCACGAAGAGAAGCACTCTTGGAACCAGCATACATACCCCAATTCCTTCCCCCATTAGACCTGGCCATAGAAAAAATGAGGAAAGAAAGGAAGAAGATGACTGTGAATGGAAATCTCCCACTGAAACAGCTGCGGGAAAGGGGCTTTGAGCTCCAAAATATCTCTAATTTTGTGCAAATAGGGAGAGGAAATGTTACCAAGATAAGGAAAGTCAAGGAAGGAGATGAGAAAGGAAGGGAAAAACTTGGCCAAAATGGGTAGAAGCCATTAGATTTCTTGGGAAGTGATGGTTTCCAGGACCTATAAAATAAGGCCTCTTCTACCCAACAAAAACAACCCACGCCTAGAGAGCAAGCTTTCTCTCTTACCTGCAAAAGCCCAGCAACCTCGTGCACTATTCACCCTCCTTCTCCATTTTGTTCTTCTAGTAAGCTGCCGGAAGAACATAGATTTTTCTTTTCTTTTTCTCAGCCACATCTGCTTGCAAACCTCTTCTTCCTCACCTTAAGTACTCCTCTTTCTCCCTAGGAAGCCATATTTCCTTTTTGGTGCTCAACTCATGCTAATTTTGCTTCCATGCCACATGCTTCTCATGTCAAGCTTAAAAGTTTATCTGTAAACATCAAGAAATCATCTGTAAGCAACCTTAATTTTCGTTGGTGAAGGTAACCAAAACGTTTCCTAAGGCTCTACTGCCCTTTCGAAGCGCTTTTGAGGCTTGATTTTGGAACTCAGACACAGGCAGCAATTTCAACAATTTCCCTTTTACGGCTGCCCAGCCCATTTGCAGCTGCCGGAAGAAAAAGGCCCTACAGAAACAAAAGTAGATCGAACTTTATAATAATACTAAAATGAAGGACATCAGTAAATGTTAAGATTATATATCACGGAAAATAACTGAATGAGTATTAGTGCACAAAAGATCTTAAGTCGATTTATTCATTGTAAATTGATTTTGAGTTAGATATTGTTACTATCAGAGCTAGTAATTTTAATTCATAGAAAATAAAAACACGAGATAAATGTTGTGCTTAAAAGGAAAAATAAAATAAAAATTGGCTTCTATAATATCTTTCATTTCAAATACTAATCTAAAGTACAGCTTCAAAGTCCGTTTAGGTTATTTTCTTCTTCTTATTTCAATTTCTAAACTACAAAAATACATAGATCTCTTCCATTGGTCGTTCCTTTTTTTTTTTTTGGTCGTCTTTTCTTTGCCATTCTCCCCTCCATTCGAGGAGAAAAGAGGGATACCGAATAATCATGTCTAAATGACTTTTTTTACCCAAAATCAATTTTCAACGAAGCCGAAACAGGAGATAAATGGTTCTGTTCCTACAGAGCCGTTGGATCCTTTTTTTTAATTTCAACGGTCAGGATACTAGTTTGGAGAATCATTTCCCAACGCTTTTAGGGTTGTAGTTTCTGTTCCACCTGTATAAATAGGATAGCATAGAGGACCATCCGCCGCTTCTAAACCAAAATCGAAACCAAGTCTCCTTCTCCCTATCCGAGGGAAGAGGCAATAAGTCCAGATCTTCAATCGTCACGAGGTATTCTTTCTTTTCTGCCCAACCTCAGTATTTCAACTGATTTTGATTTTGATTGTATTGAATACATTGGAGATAATTCTCGAGTACATAATTTGAGATCTATTGTAATAGGTACATGTGTGAACTTGTTTATCTTAATTGTTTATGTGAAAATGATTCATATGATGTAGAAAACATTTTTTTAAAAAAGAAAAATGGTGTAGGTAGGTAGGTATTTAAATATGGGTAATGATGTGGGAGTTGATGAGAGGTAACATTTTTAATGTTACCACAAGGGTTTCTCATGGAAGTGTTCTTTGGCTTTGGTTGTTGCAGAAAGAGTTGTATGATATTAACAATGTGTGTGAAAAACTGATGGTGAATGGGTTTTGGGACTCTGTGTTTGACACTTTCGAGATCACACTTCACGAATGGTAACGAAGAGTTGATACGGATTAAATTATTGATCTTGCCAATCGCATTGAGTTTATCAGGATCAATAATTTGACGAGCATTTGCGCTTTGTAACCATTCATAAGGTGTGATTTCTAATGTGTTGCAACACATCGCCCACCATCCATTCATCATCATCTAACTTTTGGACATGTTGTTGACATCCACTTCTGTACATCCAAGGGTAAAGGATATATATTCCATTTGAAATTTATGGGGTACATTTAAAAATCCGTTCTACCGTATCGTCATCCGTCCTCGGATTACTCATGTTTAGACACTTGATATTTTTACCTCCACCATTTCTCTTAGAGAAAAATTGTACATCATATCACAATCTTTTGCATAAATAGTTGATGTGAAATTTGTGTAAGCTCACCGGTGCCCATTACAATGGCCCTTGAATTATGTTATTGAGAACTTTGCACGAGTGCTATAAGAAGCTAGTAAGATGTTGATCATTGCTGGTGTTGTCAGTTGCAATTATAGGTACCCTGAACTTTTGCAATGGTTACTTAAAAAAAAAAAAAAATTTAGTGTTTAGCATTTCCTATTAGAATCGCTTGTACCAAAAAAAGGAGGTGAAAGTGTTCTTTTTGTTTACAATGTGGTTCATTATTATTTCTTTGTTGAGTTTGCTAGAACGAAAAAGATAATTACAACCCCTGAAAAAAAAATTCTAAATTCTAGGGGTAGCAAAAACCACCACATCCTTTTCATTATTCAAAGCATGTGGTAATTTTTGCAATGCATAACAATCGAATGTCTGCCACCACAAATATGTTATATACAAAATCAAATTACAAGCATACCTTGACTAATGTAAATTATGGTACAAAATCCGAAAGGAATCAAAATATAAATTGCATCACTCACTCGTATTATATGTGAATTGATAACACAACATGAAGTCATCATGGTCACTCACAAATTCTCCACTTGTTGATAAAAAGTTCGTCTCTATCATTTCAAAGTACTAGTATAAAATGCATTTGATACTACAAACTTAATCCAGTGCTAAGAAGTAAAAGAAGACTAGAGAAAAGAAAGTACATTCATGTAATACAAATTCCTCCATTCTTTAAAGTTTGTTGATTAATGCATAATGGTGTTTTATTTTGTATAGCTTATGATTTGGTTATATTTTTGAGTTAAACTTATATTTTTAAGACAAGGCAGCTTAGGGTGAAATTTGAAAGCATCTGCGTTATTGTGCCAAAAATAATATTTGAAGGCATTTTCGATTTTTCTTGAGATGAAGTATATATGGTTAGAAAGAAAAAAATCATTGAGTTTTAAGATTAATATTTTTTTTCTTCAGAATTTTATGAATAAGGAATGAGCCCAAAATGTGCTTACAAATAGACTGCAGTGCATTCACTGTTAAAATGGGGCCAACAATTGTGCAGTTAAGAAGTGGCGAAGGGCCTTAGTCCATTGGAAAGATCATTTTTTGGTCTTAAATTAGTGTGGTAAAAGTCTTCATTTGGAGCTTGAAAGCTTAAGTTGTGATGCTCATAAGGTTGTTTGGTAATGTATGACCTATGTATGAGTTAATTGTTTTTTATGGGGAAGTTAGGTAAAGCTGGTGAAGTGGGTGTTGTAAGTAGATGCAAAACTCAAATCAGGTTTTTTCTTTCCTTATGTTTATAAATAGGGAGGTTCTTCAGGGGGGGGAGCTCTCAAACTTATCTCTAGAGCTCCTCTCCCTTCTCTCCCTCAAATTCTCTCAATTGTTGTAATAAAATTCTTTTGTTAAATTTTCCTTTATATTTGAGCTCATTACCTTTGTGGTGTGTTTGTAAGTTTGGAGAACCTCACTATTTATGGGCATAAGAGAATGAAATATCTAATTTGAGTATTGCTTTTATTTACAACACACACTTCACCAACTTTATTTGACTTTCTCACAAAAAACAATTAGCTTATGCATGGGTCATGCATGACCAAGCATATTTGTGAGCATCATAATGTGGGCTTCATAATTCCAAATGAAGACTTTGACCACATTGAATTGAAGCCTAGAAAATAATCTTTCCAATGGACTAAGGTCATGTCGCCTATTCTCAATGAAAGTAAAAAAAGGTTGATACTCCTTGACTGCATAGTTGTTGATCTAGTTTTGATAGGGAATGCTCTGCTTGTTGTCACGTTTTGGGCTCGTTCCTGTGTTCATAAAATTTCGAAAAAATATGGATCTTTAAGTTTTTTGTTTTATTTTTCTAATCAGATATAGTCCATTTTAAGGAAAAATTGGAAAGGCCTTCAAATGTTATTTTTGGAACAGTAATGCAGATGCATCCGAATTCATCTCTAGAAAAATTACATATTCATATTCAATGTCTTAGATTCACTATCCAATTGGCTTTGCACAAAAATTCCACGAAAAAGTCATATTTCCATTGAAAACTGATTGAGTCGCTATGTTGCACTCTTTTGCATATTTTTATTTACCTAAAGCCATCATTGCTATCTAAAGTTCAATGAATCGAATGAAAAATTCAAAAAAAGGATAAAAATGCATGTTTAACTAAAAAACGTAATAAAATCATTAGCTAGAAGAGTACAAAATGAAATATAATTATGCACTAATTGTTTGTGTACAGTAAAACTGTCATGCCTCATTAACTTTGTTACATTTCGAGGGGTTTTGACAGACTGGGCACGTCACATTTCTTCCACTCTTCTATTTCCTTTGGCATATGTGTTGTAACTACAAACGGGTGATTGTTGGTCTGATCGTGAAGGCCAATTTTGATAACGGGTGATTGTTGGTTGGTTATGGTGGAAAATTCTACCATATTGAGTTGTGGGGTTGATCAACCCGACCACAAGCCCTCTATCCTGATCACTACAAACACAAAGATGAACAAGAGCCCTGAGATTCCCTGCATATCATCATTATACCGTACTTTCCATGTCGTTGAAATAACTGAGAAAGGTTAAAATTAGTTGTCACAGTACTTCTAATAATAAAAAGTTATGTAGGTTCTATGTTTAAATTTGTAATCAAATACTCTCAAAATCAGGAATGTAATCACGAGGAATAGTTGATTTGATTTCAAATATTTGATTATCCTATCAGTTTCTTGATTCATGACATCCCTTATTTTTGGTAGGTAAGCATTAGTCAAGTCAAGAATATGTCAATGTCTACTATATGATAAAACATACCCTTATTTGAATCAGGATAAATAGTACTAAAGCACGTAAGCTTGGAACTTGAACCATTCTCCAACCCATAAACTTTACTTGGAATTGTTTCACAAAAATAACTACGGTAAACTAAAGTAAACCCCTCAACTTATAGGGTCATTTATGAGTGTATACTCGATTTTGGGGACATTTACGAGTATATACTCAACGTCGCGGAAAACATACAATTTGCCCATTCCGTTAGCCAAATTGTTTGTGAGTTTGTTAAATAACGATCTGTCAAAAGTGGGACCCCTTTTTTTGATGACGTGGACTTCCACGTCGACTAAAAATTAATAAAAAATTATTTTACTATTTAAATTATTTATTATTGTTAAATTAATTCAAATTTTAAACAGCAAAATTAAAATAATAAAATAAAAATCAGGCAAAAATCAAAAGAAAAAAAATATATCTTCATATGTTTCTCTTCCCAATCCCAACCCCTTCCCTTTGTGCACACCGCCTTCAAAGCCATCGCCACCGACCTCGTTGTCGTTGTATAGAACCGAGGGCAAGATCTCCGTCTTCATCAACTGCCTCTCTTTTTCCCACCCCACCTCACATATGGGTCCCAAGATCCGGGAGGGGCAGAGGTGGAATTGAGACCTTGAGCTCCTACCTCCTCCGTTGACATACAAAGATTCTTAAATTTTAGGCTAAAAAGAAGTTCATGTGCAAGAGTACTAAACTGGCATACAAAGATTGTTTTCTCTAAACAGAAAGATCTTAAATAAAAACAAACTAGCAACAAACTGGCCAATAAAATACTTCAGCCATTATAAATTCATAAAAATTAAATATTTATAAAGAAAAACTTAAGAATAGGAACAGAGAGAGAGAGAGAGAGAGAGAGAGAGACACACACACACACACACACACACACACACATGGCCTTCGAACGTAGAGGTGGCTTCCAGAATCCTACCAGCACCTGCAAATGTTGGTCTTGTACAGAATCTGTTGAGAGTTAAGCTGCATACTAGTTTTGAATCAAGCTGCAGATGTTAATCCTGCAGATTGATAGTGAAGAGGATGATGAAATCGAAGGAACTGAAGAACTTTCCTTTTATAGTAATAGCTGTTATAGGATATGTCCAACAGCTAGTTTTCTTACTATTTTAGGAAATTTTACAGCTGTCATTCTTAGCTGTCTTAGTATTTTCTGCTGTAACAATTTCTAGCCTAGGTGTAAGAATCATAGCCTCCAATGACCTTGAATGGCTGGAGATGAGTCCTTGTGTCCTAGTTTTTAGGATCTGTTTTTTGGCAGCTTGTGTCATGCATATAGTGTGATTTTGGCTCTGATGCAATATACAGAAAATAGACTGAATCATTCTCATTCTCTCTGAGTTTTTCTCTCCTTTGCATACGTTGCTTACAAAAGGTTTTATTGTTCTGTAAATCAGTCTCTAAAACCAGCAAGCTAAATACCAAATTCTAACATGGTATCAGAGCACCTGGTCTGATTTCAGAGAAGGGGCGTGAGCTGTGAGAAAGGGGGTTTTCCTGAAATCTCTATAAGGGATAAAGGTTGCTCTTTTATTGTGTGGTTCACTGAGACTCACATCAAAATGGTGGGATCAGGTTCTGCAGGTGGAGATTTACGAACTCCACAGTTCAATGGTTCAAACTATGATTTTTGGTCAGTAAAAATGGAGACTATCCTCATAGCATATGATTTATGGGATGCAGTGGAGATTGGAATACAACCACAGCCGATTATTGAGCAGGAAGCAGGCTCTGAAGGCACTGGAGATGAAGAGAGTGAGGCTGAGGAAATTCCAGTGGAAGCACCTACTATCTCCAGAGAAGATAAGATCAAAAATGCCAAGGCTTTGAGTCTTATTCAAGGAGCACTGACAGATGAACTCTTTCCTCGCATCAGAAATGAGAAGACTGCAAAAGGTGCTTGGGAAATTCTAAGAAGAGAGTTCAGAGGAGATAAAAAGGTAAGAGCTGTGAAATTACAAGCTATTAGAGCTGACTTTGAATATTTGAGAATGAATGATGTTGAATCTCTGGATGACTACTTGGCTCGTTTTTTTGAAATTGTAAACAACCTGAAATCTCTAGGAGAAGATGTAACAGAGAAAAGGATTGTCCAAAAATTGTTGATGAGTCTAAGTAGGAGGTACAAGTCCATAGTGTCAATCATTGAAGAAACCAGAGATCTTGACACTATTAGAGTTGAAGAAATTCTTGCATCTGTCAAGGTTTATGATAAGAGAGAGGATTTGCATGATGAAAGGGACAAATTGGCAGGAA